AGAGAGAACGCTAACCTTGCTTGAGGCATGGAGGATAGGAAGGCGGGTGAGGAGGCGGTTATTGTTTGGGGGGAGCGTCGCCCTCCCCACAGGAAGCCATGACCACGTGTCACGGCAGGGAAAATGGCCGCGGATCCTGTTCGTCACCTGATGCGGAGTTCGCGAACGGAAGCAAAATTTTGCGAAAGGTGCTGTTCATGACCCGAACTGTTCGTGAACAGAAGGGTTCGTGACCCGAGGTACCACTGTATATAGCAGTGCCCCAAAGGTTAAGCAGCCTTTCCTCCACATGATTTGCCTTTTTCAAATTGTATCTTTCCCAAGTAGTTTTGCTTTAAAAACATATGCATACAACATAAAATTACCTTATAACTTGCTGTATTAATGTTACTAACTCTGTCTCAGCCTCAACTCCTCACCTTCTATGTCTTATAGGGCCACTATACAAAGACTACAAAGATAATGACCATGAAGACCTTTTTATATTCTAAATATATTACCAGTAAAAATACATCACAGTAATAATAGATGCAATAAAATAAAACAAAGGAAAAAGAATAAATACAAATAACTTTTAGAGAATTCTAACTATACTGTTTTTCACTCACATTTGCAAAAAAAAAAAATTCAAATCATAATCTGCTGAGCAAAATATATTCAAAGTATTTTAACATTACCTTTGAAAAATATATTCTAGAACTAAGAACTTGATGTCCATGAACATTAATAATAATGACCAATCACAAAAACAGGTAGGAAAACTTTAGTCCCCAAAACTTACTATGTTTAAGTATAACTGAAATCCCACTGGAACTATACAGTGATCTATTAAATGTAATCCACCTCATTAATCTCTTGACAATTTTTGTAAGCTATATTTTACAAAAATATTATATTATTATTATTGTTTACTTTATTCCATCCTACCCTGTTTTCAAAACACACTCTTAGGATAATAAGGTACTTTATTTTCAAAGGAAAAAAAATTAAAAGGATCTCATCTAAATTGTCAACTTCTCATTTTTTTTTAAAAAAAAGATATTTTGTAATGGAATACACTAGTTAATAAAAAGAGTTCAATAAAAGAGAATTGAATGCCAACTTAGTCACATTTCAAGTAGATCCAATGAAATTTCATATATAATTTCTAACATAAATCTCACTGAGACTTATGTTAGATTTACTCTAAGCATCAAAGTCTGAATCCGACTCTATTTTTACCTGTTTCTTACTGAATACAGAGTATTCTGCAAAGCATTGTTTTCTTAGCATTTATCAAATACAAAACAAGCAAATCAAATCATGATATATATATTCTTAAGTATAGTAACCTGTTTCTATTATCTGAATGTTTAAATTTTATATTTTCAAAACTCCAATCAAATTGTAAAGTTGATAGACTGACAGGTCACAGTATACTCTTTGAGGTCATGAATTCTGAGAATATACTTCCTAAAATATAAAACTGTTAAGCACACATTTCTTTTTAATAAAGTTTTAATGGTTTCCTTAAAAACTCTTCTCTTACCGTACATGAGTTTATTAGTTTCATAGCTGTAATCTACAAACATCTTTCTTTACCTGTTGATCAGCCATTGTACATCTGGGAAATCAGGAACATCACTTTCTGTGCATCCTATGGCTTCACTAAATCCTGACAGTTTTGAGGATACCATATACAATATCATTTGTTTTAGGAGCCAAAAATAGCCTTTTCATATATGTTCCCCACCTTAAAGTACAAATTAATATACATTTAAAGGGGACAAATACGGGTTTTAAAAATTACTAGTTATTCTAGTCTGAATGGTGATCTAGAAGGAAAGTTACAGGGAACATGAGAGAGGAGCTAGAGTTTAATACTGTTATGATGTGCTGTATATAGCTGGAGGTCAAGTAAGCATTACCCGATAAGGAGGATTATAGTACTTAGTTGATTAGTGATTTGTTACAGTATTGTTTTCTGCAAAATGCACAACATCAGACATTTCTGAACTATTTAAAGTATCTTTTTTCTTTTTATTTATTTTTGAAAACTACATATTATTTTAAAAGAATAAGGGAAAAAAATACCAATCCAAGTACAAGTTTAAAAGTTTATATTCTTTTAAATTTGTACTTGTAAAAGTATCTTAAGCTTAATGTTACTGGAAAACTAAAACATTTGTACTTTCCATTAAAGTAGATTCAAAACATATTTAAAATCCTTAAAATTGATGTGGTGAAATCATTTATCTGAACTGAAACTCCTAGATTTCCTAGATTTTGTTTAATGTAAATGTTGATTGTTGAGTGACCTTTCCAATTTCCAGGACTGCCTGTCTCCCATAAGATCTGTCTGGCCAACTCAGTCCTGCTGGGTTGGTGCACCTTGGGTTCCTTTGATTAGAAAATGTCATTTCTCAGGACTCCAGAAGTACACCTTCTCTGTAGCAGCACCTGGCCTCTGGAATGAGATTCAGATGGCCACCACTCTCCTGTTGTTTAGAAGAGCCATGAAAACCTGGCTCTTCATCCAGGGAGAGTAAGACTCCTCACACTCTTCCACTCACCATCTTGTATCTTTATGTTTTATATTTTATTGTAATTTCTTTGATTGTTGTGAGCCACCCAGAGTCATTGAGTTAGGCTGCATACAAATTTAATAAATTATTATTATTATACAATTTTTAAAAACTTTTCTTTCAAATAATGCTAAATATTTATTTATCCATGTTCACTAATCTAAAAAAATGTAATTGAAAATTAATTTGGGAGCTTTCTGAAAGAAAACTGAAATTCTTTTGACCTAGAAGATATGAAACAGGGTTAAAGTCCCTCATCTAATTCAAACTTAACCAGATTCACACAATAAATTCTATCTAGCAGTTTCCATCAGTATATTCCTACTGAACATTAGAAAAAAACATATTCCATAAGAGCAGTTCAGCAGAACTAATTACTCAGAGAGGTAGTCAACTCTCTTTCATTGAATGTGTTCAAGCAGAGTTAATTTGAAGACTGACTTGGCTTAATGACCAAGTCATTAAGCCTATTATCTCTATTGTCTCATATTTTCATGATTATCCCCAGAACTGATTCTCCGAAATATTTAAGGAAACTTTTCATTTTCATAGAATCTACTTATCCTGTATGAACTATGGAGAGGTTTTTGTTGTCCTCCATTTTCATGAGAACAAAAATGCTAAAATGAGGAGGTGGTGCTTTTTATGGAATAGCCTGCCTCCAGATATTAAAGAACTGCCCACAGTGCAGGTTTTCAGAAAAATGTTTAAGAGAAAATTGTTCTGTAGGTCCTTTGGTGGCTGATTATCATCCTGGTGGTGCTTTTAATTTGAATTTTTGATAGGAATTTTATTACAGTGATTGTTTTTCTTCTGAGTTATTAGAAATTATTTTACTAATGATGTTTTAATATTTTATGTTGGGTTATTATAACAGCTACTACAATATTTACTGTTCACTGGATTTGTTTTATGAATATTGTTGCTACTGATGTCTTATTTTGATTGTGAGCTGCCATGAT